CCCCAAAACCCCAAAACCCCAAAACCCCTTAAGTCCGCACAGTAGTTGAAATCATCAAAATAATGATATATTTATTAAATCCCAGATATACTTTCTTAAAATGGCTAGAGTAAAGAAACGTAAGGGTCAAAATCTACCCCAAAACCAGAACACAAACCTTCCAAATCCTGTAGTATCCATCCATTCTGTTGCCAAAGGAAAGCCTAAGAGTAAGACAAAGAGTAAGATCAAGGAAAAGAGCAAAATAGGTATAATCCTTAATGCTCGTTCAATGACTCAAGTCCAGCCTCGAAACATCAAAATTGAGCCAGCTTCTGGTCTGAAACAATCCAAACCAAGACCTTGGGAAATCATTCCTAACAGAGTAGGCCTTCATTCTAAAATATAGAGGAAGCTTAGACCACGTAAATAAAATTGACTATACCAACAAAAGTAAGCTATTCTTAAACCTGTTAATCTCTCTAGAATCCAAAGTAGAAGAAGTCAAAATACACAAAAAGAAAGATAAAATGGAGAAAGTACCCAAAAATTACAAAAGTCGATCAAAGAGTAAATCTAATAGAAAGATGAAAAGATATGGCAAAGAGAAAAATAGTAAGTCTTGAATATAATTTAAAGAAATCAGAACAACTTATTTAAGTAATAACAACAATGAAAATGCTGTTCTTGTACATTTTTCAAATACGAGCTTTAAGGATTCAGAGAAGAAGCATAGCATAAGTGATTTAGGATTGCCTGAACCCAGCAAGACTCTCCTTCCTCAAACTTCACCACCTAAATCATCCTCAGGATCATTACTAAACAAAAGATCAGACTCGTGTGACTCTAGAAGTTTAGAGGATCAAACCAAAACGAATTCATCAGTCCCAGTCGAAAGTGGCTCATCTCAAGTAAGAAACTAATTTTTCTATACTTTAGTCCTTAACTGGTTTATAGGAATCTCAAAGTGTTTTAGTTCCTGCTCGTCCTGGAACTATGTCTGCTACTAAGATACAGGTAAAGAACGTAGGCTCCTAGGGTCAATAGATACATCATTTCGGAGCTTGGGTAGTTTAAACTGTGTTGAGAATAATATGATTTAGACATATAAGCTTTCTTTCTGATGTGAATAGTGTAGATAACCTTTCATTTGTTCAAAAACTGATAATTCTGTTCAGATATTGTCTTATTAATTTCCTCAAAGACAAAAATTCTTCTTTAAAATCAATATCTTCCTTTCTTAGTTTAAGCCATTCCTTTCTTTAGAACATGGATATCTCTATAAACTCAAACTGTTCCTTATCGCCTATAAAAAGTCATACTCCCTCGATAAAAATAGAAGATGATGATTCTAGTTATGATAGGAACAAGGAATTTCTAGGCTGGGATAATAACAATAGTCATATGCAAGAATATTCAAGCTGAATGTCAAAACCCCTCAAGTTTTGTACAGATGATGATATTGCATTCCTGTTAGCAAGATACAACGATGATGAAAATACTAACAGTAAGTTCAGATGATTTATATAATGGGCTATCCAAGTTCTTCCCTCAAACTTTTGTGTATTTCTGTTTGGTAACTATTTATAGATCCCTTTGACAACCACCCTCTCTGGATTAATTATCTGTTGAGGCACTTAAGTTTCGACAAGAAGAGCCAATAATTTCAAAAAATCCTAGATTTCAATTTTATATCTTAGCAGCGGGGTTTTGGGGTTTTGGGGTTTTGGGG